AAAATGGATTTTACATATATACTAAAATGCATCAATAACGTAACATAGATTTAGGATGTGTTGTAGATCTATCAAAATCGATACTTTTGCCGCTGCATTGTGAACATTGTGAACATTGAAACTCCATTTTATATTCCGATAAGAATTTTCGTGTTCAGAATACAAATATTTGGTAATATGACCAAAAAAAAATTTGCGTCATACAATGAAATTTGAAATCCGAAATCCAGAATGTTTATTTTGCAGGGAATCTTTAACGCAAGGTGTTATATAGCATTGTATATCGATAGATTGAATTTTGAGTGTTGGCCCGCCTTATGAATTTGGTAATCGGTAAGCACGTCAATTTTACAAATAGAAATATCGATGGATTTAACCGTAATCGAAAAATGGTATTTCTATGTTTACACGAATGAGAATTGTTATGGACGTTTAAAAAATTATTAATCATTTCTATGGAAGGATGTGGCGCATGCAACAAAAAGAAGGTTTCGTATGAAATGCCCGATCTTGCATTGGGTTTCAATGATAAGCAAAATCGGTAAACCTTTCAAAAATCTTTTCGTAATAATTACAGGTTAACAACAAACAATTCCCAGCCAAGACCAGATTTAAAATTTTGCATTGTCAGATGTCTTCTCATGTGAAAGAAACTTAACTGCAATTCAAATACAATTCAAATTTCTACAACAGGAAGTAATATGTAAGCTGCGGTGAAATTTCCTTTTACATTAACAATCATTGAATTAACGAGGAAAAAAAATGATTATCCTCCTGGCGAATGCATTTCTCAGGAAAGTCGCAGGAGCTCGCAGAAGACTTGATAACTTTAACCTGACAATCAAAACTCTTTTGTATATTGTCTTTGTGATACTAGGTACAGGGTATTAATCTAGCTTTATATACTTATACGTAATATTACATGAACATATCTCACATGACCAGCAAAAAAGTTATTATTAAAAAGTTATTATTAATCTTGTCAACCATATATAACTGTAAATCCCTTTGTTCTTTGAAATAAAAGACGAATTATAAGATAATGCTTTGTTTATTTACATATTGTACCTGATCAACAGATATGACATGGGGCTCTATTTTCAGGAAGCACGTGTGGACGACGGTTAGTTTTTTTTTTTCGCTAGTGCTAAAGCGAATACTAGGTGGTCTCCATGTCCGGCACTTTTATACTTATCCGTAATATCACTTTCAACATCACAAATGTTATTTGCGCAACAATTATAACTGTAACAAATGATTAAAGAAGAATACAAACACCACTCAAAGCAATTAAGGAATTCTTCGGCTTGTGAAATTGTGATAAACCATGTGGACTTATGTGTGTATCATCATTAATGTATCGCCAATATGCGAATATGCGTTCCCGATACCTATCATTGATCATGATTCTACATATGGTTAAGTAAAAATTCTAGATAAGATGTAAAAGATCTTTTATTTTTTACGTTCTTCTTCGAAAAGGATAAAGCGACTCTGCCGGAATTGAATTCCACAAGAACTTTTCTAATCCTGTGATCAATGGACATTCGAAATTTGTCTCGAAAATTGTTGTATCGATATATATATACACTGTGTATATATATTTCTTTATAACTTTATAATGAAAAAAAAAAATAAATGAAGGCACATGATCATTGGTTTTACAAAGATCTTCGAGAGATTCATTATTTCGAATTATTACGCTTCATTAATTGCATGTGGGTAACCCAAAGCCCTAAATAGTTTACTATATTGATATATTTGATACTACGTACGTATTTACAAATTATTATTATTAATATATAATAACATTAATAAAAATCTATATATATTTATAATATTGTCCACCCTAAAATCTATTAATTTCCTTTATTAACCTAGATATTTGAAACTCTCCAAAAATAGAAATTTATCAAACAAGCTAATAAACGGTTTATGGTGATACTTTTTCCGACTGCATTGACGTCAATCCGGTTTTTTTTTTTTTTAAGCACAAAGCTTTCAATATTTTAGCCACCCTTCTATGGTGGTTCGGTTATCTTTCAGAGGGAACAAAGCCTTTCATCAAAAGCTCTCCTTTCTCAAAATTACCGCCTAATTATCTATTAACTATTATCAGTTATTATATTTTTATTAAATAAAAAAAAAAAAACCCCCAAAAAAAAACATATGTTTATGGACTTATAAGACAAGCACTACCAAATATAACTTTAAATTAATATCTTCGTTTCTTAATAGAGATTTCGTTTTTTTTTCTCGTATATATATTAAACTGGCAAAATTCTTTTCGTATCTTTGCCAAGTAGTCGATAATCTTGGTAATTCTCCCTTTATTAAATAAAGTGCTCTCAATATTCGAACAATATTCTTTACGGCAAAAATAAAAAAAATAAAATAAAATAAAATAAAATTGGCAAAATCCTTTTATCAGCAAGGACGCTGGCGGCTCCTTTCATCCTTGCGATTTACCTCCGTCACTTTCTTCACGTTAGAATAGACTTTCCCTATTTTTTTTCCTGGTGAAACTATTATACATATTTTCCTTTTCCTTATTTTTGTTTTTTGAAGTCAACTGGTATATCCTTTTATCATTTCGTATATTATTTGAATTGGTTAGTGCACACAAGTTTAGAAAACTTGGCGCAAAAATTTAATTACTTTCAAACTGTGGTCACAGAAATAAGAAGCCACCAGTACAATCTTTTTTTCTATATAAACCGTGACAGAGGCTCTTCATATGACGCCACAGCCGCAACATTTATATGACCAACCTAAAGATTATATTTCTAGAGGTGGTTATCAGGATATAATGAAAGGTCAGTTTGATACTGCAAAGACTCAGACTCTTTTGGATCAAAAACTCTCACATTCTAGCGACAGCTCAAACCAAAATAAAGATGAAGCTGGTTTTCTGGATCCATGGAAAACAAATTCCATGGATCAAGAAGATTATACAAAATCCATTAAATTCAATAAGCCTTCACAAAAAGATGAAACTGTTGATAACGTAAAAAGTTCTAACAACGGACTTGACGATTTACTCAAGAGTAGTTTACAAGCTTCTGATTTGTTTCTCGATCCATTTGGTGAAGAGAATGAAAAACTTATCCTGTCAAATTCCTCTTTGTCAGAAGAGGAAAAAAAAGCAAAGATCAACAGTATCTTTTCACGAGCTGCTAGCAATGGAAATGTTGAAAAAGTATCTCGAATGTTAGATACTGCGAGAGAATATATTGACATTGACGCCCAAGATGAAGAAGGAACTACTCCATTGGTTTACGCTGCGTGCTTTGGGCATGATGCTGTTGCATTCACATTATTGGAGGCTGGTGCAAAAGTGGATGCTCAAGATAGATGTAAGTAAATTGATGATAATCTTTTACATTCTCACAGGCTTGAATTAATTTATTAAATTTTTATTTAGTCGGATGGACACCATTAATGTGGGCTACCAATAACAATCACGATAAAACCATTCGATTGTTTTTGGATAACGGTGCAGATGCTGGTGCTAAATCGGCAAAAGGTAGAACCGTATTCGATTTTATTCCACCTGAAAACCACAAACTTGCCGAAATCTTTATAGCTAATCCTCAACGTGATAGCTGGTCAAGTGTTAGTAGTATTAGTCGATGGTCTATGCTTAGTGAATCTGAACACAAATTAGTAGAACAATTAGCCGAAGCTGAAATGAGAAAGAGAATTTTAATGGAAAGTGCCTCTAATTTGGATTTGGATTTATCTAGCTTAGGATTTGATGACTCTG